GACCAAAACTTACCTTGTCATAGAAGTAAAAATACTTGATCATGCTACGACGCATTGATGTATAAAATAATTAAAATAAGTTAAATCTCGCCAAAAAAAAAAACCTAAATATTACTCCTTTGCTAATAAAATAAACCCAAAAGATTAGTAATTATATTTAAGATCAACATATATTTCAGTACTAGGCACATGTAATATGAACCACCAATACCCTGTCAAAAATCCGTGGTTGTTGGAAATTTTATTTTTGATTGATACATATGTTTATTTTGGATCCTCACTAATTACCCCTTTTCTTCACCCCAAATAATCAAATACATTTAGTAATAATAATGGTACTTTGAAAAAAATTTATATAAAAAAAAAATTAAATGCCGACGCCTTTGCCAATTTGCCAGAGCTTTTTAATAGCAATTGAGTGATTGATTTTTCCTTTTTTAATTAATGTTTTACTTTGATGATAGAATACACTATACTCTTAGATTCGCTAATTAAAAAGTACGGAGTAATGATTTACGTAAATTTTGGGTTAGATGTTAAGGTGTTAAATAAATATTACAGAGTATTAATAAAATTACATATCAATTGATACAACTAATTATATTTTATTTATGGAGTATTAATATAATTATGTTTTGTCTCCTTATATGTAGCTCTTAAGGCCGGGTTTCATATGCATACCATTAAATTTGCAAGGTTAGTGGATGGATGTGAGCATTTATTTGTGTGAAGAGGTAGTACCATAATTGGAATTAGGAAAGTTGAGTAGCGGTAACTATCAGTAATATTCTAGCTTAAGCTCAATCCATCGATCAACTGATAGCGATTAACTTGCTTAATCAGGAATTTAAATATGCTCCTAGTATATATGTGATGTGCCACATGCTACTTCCTTAATTAGTGGGTTTTAAGTGGCACAATAATAATGATAAGGTGACGGAATATTTGGTACCAATTGATTAATTTCCTTACAAAAGTATCAAATAGATTGAAACAGAAATGAAAAATGCTAATTCCACAGTATTGGCGTCCATCCATTGATTATTTGATTATATTATACACAAGTATAAAAACGCAAGTTTAAGATAAAGATAAATAATTAATAATGCTATATATCTAAAGCTTATCGACTTGTTAATGACGTTGCTCTGATCTTTTTCCTACGTACGCAATCGATAGTTTGCATATTACTGCTATCATCTATAAACTTACCGTAGATACCAAGAGTAATCATTATTTTCATATAATTAAACCCTAGAAGCTAACAAGCAACTTCAATTCTTTCCTATTGCTCATTCTTATTAGGAATGCTGTTGTATTTACAAAGCATAATTAATACTCCATAAATAAAATATACTCCGTAACATATATACATTAGTTAATATATTTGTACGAGACAAACTGATTCAAGATATATCTAACAATATATACATTTCTAGCTAGCTAGCATAAAAGCATTGTGCCTCAATATGATCTCAAGATTCAAAAGAAAAATTAATGATCAATTAAGTAAGAAACAAAGCAAGGAGTAACTTGTATAGTTGTATTAGATATTGCATTTTCAAGTGATGTATGTTTTTACACAAAATTATAATAGAGCTTTGGTATATTCCATTATTAATGAATTGGACCTATTATTATCCATAACAATTATCAGATAAAAACAATATAAAACTCCCTTCATTTCTAAATGTTCTTCTTATATTTTGACTATATTTGGGAGATAATTACCATTAAAGCTACTAATAAAGGATCACTTAAAAACAAAGGAAGAAGCTCATTTGATTAAAAATTTTATAACTCTATTCACACAACATAGGGCCTATTTACTTTAGCTTAATTTCAATTCAATTCAGTTTAGCTCCTAATTTCCTTCTCTCATAAAATATTTAGTTCAGCTCAGTTCAGTAAATGTAAACAGACCCATACTTCCTTCAAAAAAGGGGTGTAAAGGGTGAAACTCCCTCCGTCCCTTAATATAAAGCCTCTTTTTAGGACAGAGGGAGTAATAAATGCTAAAAAGAGCTTTATATTAAAGGACAGAGGGAGTATTAAATAAGATTAATGATATTTATAACCCTAAAAGCTACATATAAGGAGTTAAAAATGAAAAACAAAAAAAAAAATGAATATATAACAATAATTATACTGATTTGATTGTGATTTTGTCACGCATTCCTAAATTAATACTCTGTACCAAATAAGAAAAGTTATTTAATGCTTATTTATAAATCTAAGGGCTACATACAGCATTACCCGTTATTAAATAATGAAACTCAAAAATCACAAAACTCAATTTTCGCGAAAAATACATGCAAAAATACACGAAGTTACATGAAGAGTGAACGAAAGGTTTATTTGATAGCGGTAATAAGTGATGGGTACTTTGAGCATTGTTAAATTACATAAACATCACTAATCTATAAATTAATCCGATCCAGTTGAAAATTAAAAGCTCAGATGGAGTTGATATGAATGACTACCGACTGATTATATTTGTCTATCCTATCCGTGACCGTCCATCTTCTAATGGAAACAGAAATCACACCTCCTTTAATTTATCAATAACTTATGAGTTTGACCTCTTAATTAGAGTGACAACACCATTGTTTTAAATCATGCATAATGCTGTCAATTGCTCCTTAATTAGATCTCTATTTTTAATTTACATCATACTTCTACATGTCTTAAGTACAATTATTAAAGATGCATGTTGGGGAATGGATGGAACAAAAATACAAGAAGGAAAATTGGAAGAAATTCATTGTCACTTAATCAAAACTCATGAAAGCGAGCTCTAGTAATGTAATAGGTAGAAAACTATAGGGAAAGCTAGTGAAGATCAAGAAGAAGAGATTGCGGACTTTATGTCTCACTACTCCATTTCTTAATTAACATACAGGCAGTACTAGTAGTTTAGTAAAAGTATTACATACGGAGTATAAAACTTGCTTACACTGCTTGGGCACTGTTCACTTCATCATAACAAAAAATAATGTTCAATAAAAATAATTTAAGTTTAGTAAAATAAGTTCTGTTTTGTAAAATTAATTATGTTCGGTAAAAATAAGTAATTTTAAGGTAGATATATACTAGAAAATCAACAAAAATAATTTTAGTTCAACAAAAATAAGGTAAAGTGAACAGGGTCTTAGCTAGTTATATTAACTATATAACCAATGAATGAATATACTACAGGCCACACTAACTTAGTTCGAGCTATGGGGTAACCTATAGGCTACTACTAATTTAATGAAGCTATAAATCTTAGGAGCCATCGAACCACTATAATTTGAAGCATAAATTCTTAACATATATATATATATATATATATATATATATATATATATATATATATATATATATATATATATATATATATATATATATATATATATATAACTTAGCTTTTGTTGTTGGGTTTCGTGAAATTTGTTATATATATCCGGGTGTACTATACACCCATAAATATTATTTTGTTCTCATTTGAGAATTCCTTTTCAAATAATCAGCAAATGAGTATAAAAAAACTAACTTTGGGTTAGTTGGGTGTACGGTACACCCGGGAATATATAACAGTCTACTTGGGTTTAGCAAAAATGTGTAAAAATATATGGCTTTTTTAAAAAGGATCAATTCAATCAAAAATTTAATTAAGTTGAAGCGTGAAATAAATTCCCCTTTAAAAGAGTGGTGGATGATATTATGAATTCGTGACTTTTTATCACGCTGGATTTGATACCCTGTTAGAGGACCAAATCAACCAAATGTATAAATTTAGGATTGAAACACATAATTTGTTAATTTATATACTCCATTACATTTTATTGTTTAGCCTCAATTATAAACATAGTCTAGTTGTCGACTCCCTGTATGCCAAGTGGCATCAAAAGCAGGGAAAGTAAGGCATAAACAATACCTATATGAAAACACAAATTTGGATACTTAAAGAGTACATAATGTATGAATAATTGAATAAATGGTTCTACTAGTAATAAATCTATAAATTTGAGTAGTACAAAAGAAAGGTGAAGGATGATGAGTTAGGAGTACGTTAATGCGAAAGGTAGTTGTAGATGTGCATGTTTACTTGGATTCATCGTCCTATAATTTCCACGTTGTTTTCGAAAAAAACTCGTGGAATAATGCTATGAATTGTCGTGTTTGTAAGGTGTAACGAATAGCTTCTTAGGCGGTATTATGGGGGGGACCAACCATATGTTAAATAGGTAAGTGAATTCTTCTTCTATATCTTTATGTGAGGGTGTTATTCATTAGTTAGTGATCGCTAATCAGGAAATGGAGAGATCGACACTTCAGACGTAATTGGGTGGTTTTAGGCCGGAGTTCTATTCCTATCCCAATTCTAATACGGAGTATATAGTGTGTAGTATTGTATGTAGATCATTTGCTACAGAAGAAAATGATATAGATATGTAATTCCGTCATTGTTAAAGGTTTAAGTAACATTTGTATTGCAAGAGGTTTAGAGGTGTCTAAAATTATATTGATGATTTTGATTGATATTTAAAGACTTTTTTTAAAATCAACACTCATGTAGCTTAATGTTGAGTCGTGTTTCGGTTTATATCATATTGATACTTGATAATGTATAGGAAGTCTCTTAAATCCAACCCCTAAATTAAGACATTTATACATAGTATTAAATAAATTATTCCTAAACGAATTTACTACTCCATACATGCATGCAAATAATGCATATGACGTTGCTTTCATTACTGAGATTTTTTCTAAAAAAAAAAAAAAAAAAAAAAAAACCATATACTATATATTTTTTATTTATTATTATTACAAAGTTTATTTTGATACATCATTTTAAAAAAAATAAAAAATAAAACAGAAAGAGGATGTTGACAATGTTAATAAAGTGGAAAGCATTAGTCTATACTCTTATGTAGTCATATAAAACTCGGTCTTTAAGTATGAAATATTAGAATTGAATGTGGGCCTTGATTAAGTAAAGAGATATCTAGAGGGAAAAAAAAAAAAAAACCTCACCAACTGAGAAGACAAAAACGTGAGAGTATGTATCCGGAACTACTAAATGAAATAATAGTAGTATTGGTTTAATTCCTTACCGACCTCGGCAACTAGAGATGGAATTAGTACTATTACTACAAATCCACATCACTAATTAAGTTGTATATAAACCCCTTTTTTATCCCCTTCCTCTTCAGCAACCCATTTTAAGTTGCCAAACAAACACACTTGTACTATAACACACACACACATAAACACAATAGTAATACAAATAATAGCATGGATAATATGCTCACTTCCGTGTTGAACTCTTTTCAAATTACTAATCCAATAGCTATGATAGCTTTGCTGTTCATAGCGCCCTTGCTTTTACTAGGCATCATCTCTAGACTAAGGCGAAAGCCGTACCCGCCAGGCCCAAAAGGCCTTCCTATCATAGGTAACATGATGATGATGGACCAACTAACCCACCGCGGCTTAGCCAAGCTAGCTCAACGCTACGGTGGTCTCTTCCATCTTAAGATGGGCTTCGTCCATATGATGGTCGTCTCTAGTCCCGAGGAGGCTCGCCAAGTCCTCCAAGTCCAAGACAACATCTTCTCCAACCGTCCTGCTACCATCGCTATCAGCTACCTCACCTACGACCGTGCTGACATGGCCTTCGCTCACTATGGCCCCTTCTGGCGTCAGATGCGCAAGCTTTGTGTCATGCGCCTCTTTAGCCGCAAGCGGGCTGAGTCGTGGCAGTCCGTCCGGGACGAGGTCGACTACATTGTCCATGCTCTTAAACAGCATGCTGGCTCTCCTGTTAACGTTGGGGAGCATGTTTTCAACCTTACTAAGAATATAATATACCGGGCGGCCTTCGGATCCAGCTCCTCTGAGGGGCAGGATGAGTTCATAGCCATCCTCCAGGAGTTCTCTAAGCTTTTTGGGGCGTTTAATATTGCTGATTTTATCCCCTTCTTCAGTTGGATGGATCCCAATGGCCTCAACGACAGGCTAGCTAAGGCACGGGGCGCGTTAGATAGGTTCATTGATCGGATTATAGACGATCATATCACCAAGAAGAAGGCTATGAATGGACATGTTGATAAACAAGCAGAAGACGATATGGTGGATGATTTGTTGAACTTCTACAGTGACGAAACCAAAGTAAATGAGTCCGAAGATTTACAGAATGCTATCAGACTAACTAGGGATAACATCAAAGCGATCATCATGGTAACATACTATTCCTATATATTTTCTTTTGTTATCCTATTATAGGACATCTGGACATAGTCATCCCCCATGCATGCATATATTTAACATGTCCATTACTTAAGTAATATCTCACACTAATAACAATTTAATTAAATAAAATCTGCAATTAAACCTTTTTTCTTTGTACGGGTTTGTGTCCAATAAAAAAATCTTGTGACGGACTAGGTATAAAACAATAGCTACATGGTTGATTAATGATTATGTTACCAGTTACCAATTAAATTAAAGTTTGTGCTAACTTAGATTAGTGCTTCATTTCCTAAGATATCCAGGTCTCGAATCTACTAGTTAGAGGTAGTAAAGGAAAGATGGTCATCGGAAATGTTGAGATTTGTGGGTCATCTAACAGCTTTCAAGTTATTGTCAAAACTTTACCATGCAAAAAAAAAAAAAAAAAAAAAAAAATCAAAGTTTATGTTGTAGTACTAATAGTATATTTTGCAACGGTGTTATATTTATTGCCACAAATATAGTGATCCAACTTTATCAAAGATAAAATGGCGAGGTTGTACTATTTTGACTTGTGTTGATGTTAGAGTAAGAAATTAAAAAATTAAATTAATTAATTGATGAAATAAAAATGTGCAGGATGTGATGTTTGGTGGGACCGAGACAGTTGCATCCGCAATAGAATGGGCAATGACTGAATTAATGCGGAGCCCCGAAGAAATGAAACGGGTCCAACAAGAACTTGCTGATGTAGTCGGGTTAAGTAGACGGGTTGAAGAGTCGGATCTTGACAAACTCCCATTCTTTAGGTGTTGCATCAAAGAAACGCTACGTATGCACCCTCCAATCCCCCTTCTACTCCACGAGACTGCTGAAGATGCTGTTATAGGAGGATACTCTATTCCTAAGAAGTCGCGGGTGATGATCAATGCATGGGCTATTGGGCGAGACCCCAACTCGTGGTCCGATGCTGACAAGTTCAAACCGGGAAGGTTCCTTAAAGAAGGGGTGCCCGATTTCAAGGGAAGTAATTTTGAGTTTATACCATTCGGGTCGGGTAGAAGGTCATGCCCGGGAATGGTGCTCGGACTATACGCGCTAGAGATGTGCGTGGCAAACTTGCTCCATTGTTTTAGGTGGGAGTTACCGGATGGGATGAAGGCAAGTGAATTGAGTACGGATGACATATTTGGACTCACGGCTCCAAGAGCGACTCGACTGGTGGCGGTGCCGAGTCCGAGGCTGCTGTGCACGCTCAACTGATCTCATCATTGATCATACCAAGGATTGCAATAAGGAAGGCAATGTTGTCAATTTGTAATTGTTGATGGTTGAGGCCTAGGAATATGTTTTATACTCTATCAGTAATATCACTCTTTTTTTTTTTTTTTTTTTTTTTTTTTTTTTTTACTGCTAGTACTTTATTTTTGCCCGCCAGAGTGCGTGGGAGTATCAACTATCAAAGGCGAAGGCTGCTCTCTGATTTCTTATTTGTGGATATATTATTGCATACTCCGTATATATGTTCCCCTCAAATTTATTTCATTCAACTAATATAATAAACATGCTCTTCATTTTCAAATCAACTTTTAATTTCATTTAATTTTGAGTCAACAACTCTCTTATTCTATATATATATATATATATATATATATATATATATATATATATATATATATATATATATATATATAATTTTACCGCGCCAGAACAATTTCTGCTCAAATTATTATTGTTAAGTTTAAAGTCAACAAATCAAAATTAAAACTCCCTTTTAATAATGTTAAAATTTGTTACGATAAAAATTACAACGTATTATAGAAGGTTTTTTTTTTCTTTTAGTTACCTCTATATAACACAAATAAAAATTATAAAATTCTATTCTTTTTGTTTGACACATGTAAAAATTGAAGCTCGTTTGACATTAATTTAATGTAAGCCCAACCCGTTGTATGCAAGACGGACTGATGTTTGCTTCTAAATACCTTGCAATAGTGGCAAATTTTATCCTTGCAAATAGAAATAAATATATGCGTTGTAGTATAAATCAAGAATGCTAACTAAAGGAAGTGAGTACATATTAGGTACATATACAACGGATGAATAGGGAAATCTGTAAGTGCAAAAAAAAAAAAAAAAAAAAAAAAAAAAAAAAAAAAAAAAAAAAAAAGGCGTACAATTTTTAATAAATACAAGTAATCATAATTAGGTTTGCTAGTTGATGTTAAAGATGACAATTACATGAATTTCCACCATACAATATTGATCTTCTCACACATATTAAGTGAATTACAGTAGAGAAAGTAAAGGAAAAAAGACTTGAGTGGGATGGAAGGACCATTAATCAAAAAATGACTTTCCGCCAACAAATCAAGAAATGAAGGTCATTACTTGAGATATTGTCCAACTTAATTAGTTTGCCTAAACATATCTTGTCTTTTGTCTCCACTTGCACTGTTTTTATAATCCTTATTATGTTTCAACTTTTTCGGTGTCTCCTCTTTCTCATCTGTTTTCTTCACTTCATACCAAATTGAATCCATTTGCTATCTTATTAGTAATTAATTATATATGTTCATCAATAACACTGTACTTTTTGTTTGTTAGGAACTACGGAGTAATTTAGAAAAGAAAAAGATTTAATTCTTAAAGGAAATTTTGACAATTATCACCTACTATTGTTTTCATTTTAGCAATTATCACTTACTATTATTTTTTTAAAAAAAAAATTACCACAAATAAAAATTTCTACTTAGTTGACTTTTAACCACCTTATGACATTATGTGGAAGTGGACCCCACATAATACCTCGATAGTATGTGGTAATTATTGTAAAAATTTTCATCCTAATATTATAATTAGTTTATGACACCCTACATATAATTTTCAAAGTAGATGTCCCATGAAAGACTTAAGCGAATATGTGTAAGATCAGAGTAGGAACGAATCACCATCAACATTATTCTTCATGCATGTCATAGTTTAATTTTTATTACATTAATTCTCGTTTATAGATATCCGAAATAATACATAGCATAATAAGTAAACTTTGAGATACGGAGTATATGGCATCATAATTTCAAACCAAATTTGGTGTTAATTAATTTAATGGACCATCTTTTTCAGCAGCTAATTTGAAATCATCAAATTTGATCAGATCAGACACATATATGACCAATAATAGTCTTTCTTTAAGCACTCAATCCATTTAATAAGCACAATTATTAATATCTAAGGGGAAAAAAAATTTGCTAGATTACTTCATCCATAAGGTAGGTAACCCATCCAATTTAACGAGTATAGGAATATAGAGAAATTTTAAAATATATACTCTCTAGGTTCCTCTTTTGTTCTTTTCATTGAATCAAAAGAAGAAAAAAACAACAAAGTATATAATTGCATGTTTATATTAAAGAATATTCAAAATTGCTTATAATATGTTAGAAAATACATAAATACGGAATAGTAACTTAATTAAAGGAAATAAGAAAAACAAAAGACGGCAAAGGAAATATTAAAACAATAAGGAGTATTTGAAGAGTTGGACTATTGTTCAGCACAATTACAATACTAGAGGTCGAGGTACGGACGTGTCGTTCAATTCTGTTGTGTTTATGATGAAAATAGCCTGTATGTGTGAATTAGGATGTAAAATATTTTGATCCCTTTGATGCATTTGTGATTTGTCAGCATGGTAAGCCTTAAGAGAGGGGCATTCATCATCTGATCTCACCTTGTTGCGAGGTGGGATGTTGGTATTGATTTTGATACATAGACAACATAGTACTACTTTAAACATACTTTGTTTAAGAAGCTTGACTTGAATTAATGGAGTTAATTTCTTATCATATTTACTTTTTCAGTACTAACAAGTATTTATTCAAAAGTTGACAAATCGATGATTATTAGAGTTTACGAGTTCAAGTATGAAAAAAAAAGTCGTGATAGTTGTTGATGTTATTTGCTGTATTGTCAATAAGTGTTTATGATCGCATATATACAACATATGTACTTAATTTACACATAAAGGACTAGTATTACAGTTTCTATTGGCTAATTTCTTTCTTTTATTTTCTTCATTTGGCACATTAATTAATTATGAATTGAAGTACTTCGTAGTATAGATAGGTTGGATAAAAGTCTTAACAATATATTGTGTCTCCTACACTCACCTAATAAGATCCTAATATTCCTCCATTTTCTAGATGACTTCCCACCAATTCATGTCAGTGCATTGTATAAGTTTTACAAATACAAATTTGTCGAGAACTATCAATTAAAGCACGTGTTTTGGAAACAAATACTTATACTTCATAAAATAATAACTTTCTAAGTTGACTTTCTATACTTCATAAAATAACTTTCTAAATAAAATAACTTTCTAAATTGACTAAATTACCCTTCATAAAGGTAAAAAGTTTGACCCTAATGCCGAATAATCTAGTCCAAATTAAAATTTATTTACTTTATCTTTTTTTTCTCTTAATTATAGTTACTAGTTATCTTCTCCAATCAATAATGGAGTACACACATTTTTTTGTTTCATTTTTTTTTTACAAATAGAATAATAGTATACCAAATTGTAAAATAGCTCACCCATTCAAAACCTCCCTCAACATGGATGTATTAAGCAGATGAATAGTACAACTCTTAAATATTCGAGATTGTGTGTAACGTTAAAAGACACGGGGAGACTACGATAGTCATGTACAACATTGAAATTTTCTAAATATAAAAAGCTCAATGAATAAATGAAGTGCGAAAAATGCAAGTTGTGAAAGTGATATTGACTTGCATAAGCCGGAAAAATGTACTCCGTATTTTAGTTGTTGTCACCGAAAATTAAAAAGGGGTTGAACAAAAATTGAAGCAGACGAAGTTAGGTAGGGTGTGTCCTGTGGGAAACGGGAAACCAATGGAGAAATATGTGCGTAGATAATACGACTTTGATGCTACATCTTTATGACAATAACATTTTTGTTCTTTCAATTCCAAATCAAAAAACAATTTGCCAACTTTTGATGTAATCGTAATCTCCTTCCTTCTTGCTTCTCTCGTCAACGGTTGTTTCTCTCATCTTACCTCAATCACTTCACCCAACTACCACAACATTAACTTTGAACCTTATTCATTTTCTTTTTATTTTAATGGCTTTTCTATTATTATGATTAATTAATTAACTATGGCGGCCTGATAATTTTACTTTGCTCAAATACTTCATTATGTGTTTCATCCAATACAATACAAACTCACTCCTTAAATTATGGAGTGCGGATTTGATACAAACTTTATCATTGTTTTTATTTAGTGATTTGATACAAACTTGTAAGTAATGTTTTAACTTTTAAGAAAAAATTAAAAAAAAAAAAAAAAAAAAAAAGTAATGTTATATGTAGCCCTAAGGGCTATATATAAACATTAAATATACTTTTGAAAATTGTATAAAATTAGGAATTCATGATAAGTAATTAGTGTTTATATTTTTATGATTTCCTAATTTTATACTCCGTACGATTTTAGAGTGTGTTTTTAATGCTTATATGTAGTTCTAAGGACTATGTGTAAGAGTAGGTGGAATTATATTTCATAAAGAATAATTACATGCTATATATATTACAAGCCTGAGGCACTAATCACGTAAGCTATACAATAAGAAAATCAATCACAAAGTCAAAGGTAATAAATACTTTACAAATATAAAAGATAGTATACTCTCAATCAAGGAAATGGAGTGATATTAGCTAGCCGTGATTTGCATATCAAGAATTCTCTACACTATGTACATATAGCATTTTCAAAAAAAAAAAAAAAAAAAAAGTAAAAAATACTCTAAAAGCAAAATAAATAAACCTTCAATGCTCGGATCCTCTCATACACTCTATGATTGTCCTTCACACATTATTTATGCTTAGAGAAAATTTGCCTACAAATATTAGTAGTTCTCTTGTAATGCTCACTCTTTCAAGAGTTCTTTTCCTATTTATCATATAGTGGATTATTTTTTGGCGTTCATCGTCTTTGGATTTTTTGTGAATTTTTCCCACATTAAATATTGTGTGTCCATTTCCCTTACTACTATTTATCTTGCATTCTTGCCTTGTTATTTTCATTTTTTATCAATCTCTACATTTTTAATTTGCTTCCATTGTGCACTTAGAATATAAACGATTATTATATAGTTTAGTATAAACGTTGTGCAATCACTTACTGATACAATCTAAGGGTCTGTTCTCTTCAGCTTAATTTCAATTCAATTCAGTTCCTACTTTCCTTCTCTCATTAACTATTCAGTTCAGTTCAATTCAATTAAGCTCAAAACAGACCCTAGCTAACTACTGATGGATTATTTCTAAATATAGGACAACCAGAAAGAGAAAGACAACTAGATTGAGAAGAAGAGTAAGAACAATAGACTATTGGTTGCGCAAAAAGAGGAGGGAGTGAGTCAATAATATTATTTATTTTTTTATAACAACATACGGAGTACAAATAATAGTACTCCGTAGTAACTATTAACTTAGTAAATCCTAAAATAACATAGTTGTTCACATTTATAATATTTCATTTTAAGTTAAAAAAAATCATG